TCAGTATTTTTCACCAACACCATAATTCAAATGCATCAATTCTTCTTTGGTCTTCCTTAATCATTGTCCAGCTTTTGCATGCAGATGAGGTCATTGAAAATACTGTGGCTTGGGTCAGGTGCAAAAGGCACTCTGGTGGCACAATGGTTAAAGCATTTGGGTCTCAACCAAAAGGTTGGTGAGTCAAACCCATCACTTCTCTGAGGGAAAAAGACAAGGCAGTCAGCTTCTATACAGATTTACAGCCTTGGAAATCCTCTGGGGGCAGTTCTACTCTGTCCTTATACACTGTCTATGAGTCAGAATCAATTCAGTGGCAGTGGGTTTGGTTTTTTGGTGGGTCCGACACACCTGAGTCTTCAAAGTGATGTCTTTGCTCTTTAACACTTTAAATAGGTCTTTTAAAGAGGATCTATTACTGGAAACTGGTGGTTTGTTTTTTCTTGTGACACAATGCTTTTGTCAGTCCTCTTTATGGGAGTCCTGTGTTTTAGTGGGAAGCCATTAAAGCCTTACAGAAAGTCACAAGGAGTGATGAAGTAGGACACAGGGTCCCTAGAGCAGGCCCACCATTACCATCGGTGTTCTGCTTCATGGAGAATATGTTAAAACTTTTATGTTGTTATCATCATTTTGAGTTATCAGACTTCCTGACAGTTCCAAAAAATGGGGGAAAAATTTTTTTACACTTTTGAGGAAAAAAACAGCATTCAAAACGTATGGTGCCTCCCCCTATCGGCAAGTCGATTCTGACTCACGGCGCCCCTAGAGGACAGAGTAGAACTTCCCTATAGGGTTTCCAGGACTGTCAGTCTTTACAGAAGCTGACTGCCTCATCTTTCTCCCTCGGAGCAGCGGGTGGGTTTGAACCACCAACCTTTTGGTTAGCAACTGAATGCTTTAGCCAGTGCACCACCAAAGCTGCTCAACATGGTGGATCCTCACCGACACTCTGCATCTGTGGTGTCGACAGCCATCATTTGAATAGCAGAGTTTGCTGGCCAGCTGCGTCTGCCTTCCTGAGCTCCACTCTGTGGAAGAGACGCTAGAGAGCAGTTTGTAAACAGACAGTAGATGGAACGTTTGCTCCTAAAAGGAGCGGATGTCGATTTAATTCAGTACGAACAGTTTGTTGTGGGCAAAGACATAGAACTAACTGTTGGCCTTGTCAATATTTGTGACTGCATCCTTCAGTGCCATTGTCACTCTCACCGTGATAGGCAGCCGTTGCACTGTCTGTTTTCCAGTCAACAGTTTTGGGTGCTTACTGAGTGGCAGGGATCCTGCTGGGCCTTGGCATGAGCACAGGCCCCCTGACTCAGACCCTCGGGGACTTGCAGGTGGCTTTGGCAAGGACTGCAGCACACATGAAAATACCTCACTTTTTGTTTCTTTCAAGCGAGTGGGCCATGGTGATGACAACCACGCTGATGCGGACAGATCCCCTATTTTTCTTCAGTTTATTGATTGCGTTTGGCAGATGACAAGACAGGTAAGAGATCCCCAGTGTGCTTCTGACCTGTATAGTCTTTGAGTCAACCAGATTTTATTTCCAAATTGACAACCAGTTACCCTTGCCCAGCACTTTGGTTCACAGTAAAGACCTGGATCTGTGTGCAGACTGGGACCCCTTTGGGATTTAGCTCCTTCCATTCTGTTCACTTGCAACCAGTGTCACGTCAGAAGTTCCCTTCTGCCCAGGGCCTTGCCCCCCAGCCTCGGCCTGCCTTCCAGCTGTGCAGAACACAACCCTGATCTTTGCTGGCTCCCTTCCCTCCAGGAGAGGAAAGCAAGGGGCCAAAGCCCGCAGTGTTAGAAACGGGCCTGCCGTTGACCAGTAGTCCTAAACCACTGAGCTTTTGTTTAGTGGCTAAATGCTTTAACCACTGAACCGCCAGGGCTCCAATCCCAACACACAAACCCACTGTCACTGAGTCGGTTCGAACTCAATAGTGACCCCCATTGGGTTTCTGAGGTGGTATCTCTATGGAAGTAGATTGCCTCATCTTCCTTCTGAGGAGGTAGGTTTGAACAGCCAGCCTTCTGGTTAGCAGTCCAATGCCTTTGGCACTGTGCCAACAGAGCTCCTGAAAAACCTGAACCCCTCTTCCCTGAGCTAGTCGGCTGACGGCGGCAGGGCTAAGCTGCCAGTAAGGCCTGTGCTGATTGCTCCATGGTCTCTAGCACCCCAACCTGAATTTGGGGTCTTACTCAGGGGTCTTACCCTCATGACAGGGGGTAGTGCCAGGGTAATGGACTGGCACTGGAGAGAGAAGTGGCCAAAAGGCGTAGTCCCCCTTCCCTTGGCCGGCCGCGCCCAGCTCACAGCAGCTGCAAGGACGAATGAGTGGGAGCAGAGCCGCGCTCAGGCCCTCTCCGGCCGGTCACCAGCAGCTCGGGCCTTCGCCGCTTCAGCCGTGTGGCAGGGAACCAGCTGTACAGTGACTGCCCTGTGGCCATGAAGCTCACCGGAGGCTGTCTGCCTCTCGGGTGTTACCGGTCCCCCTGCCACCACTGGCAGCTGTTCTGAGGGAGCGCATGCTGGCCCTAAACAAGGACCGAGCCGCCAAGAGCACCCCCCTGCAGCCCACCCAGCTGGGCCCCTCACACTAGCAGCCGGGCCTCCCCCTCGAGAGCCTTCTGCCAGTGGGCAGATGAGCGTGAGGACGTCCGAGTGTGGGCCTGGGCCTGCGGCTCAGCAGTGCTTGCGACCTTGTGCTTTCACGGCTAAGCCATTTCTCTCTCTCCGTTGAAGTTCCCTTCAGCGTTCGAGTTCAGTGAGCTCTTCTTGATCACAATCTTGGATCACCTTTATAGTTGTCTCTTTGGGACTTTTTTGTGCAACTGTGAACAACAGCGATTCAAAGAGGTGAGTGTCTCAAATCCTTGCCTGGGGCTTTTCCCCAAAGAGCCACTGTAAACAAAGGGCTGACCTGAGAGAACCTGCTTTAGAGGCTGAGCCAAGCCCTTCCACGTGGGCAGTCAGAGCTGGTGAGACCTCCACTGGCCACTGGGAAGAGTGTTCCTTGGGCAAAGAAAGGCATTGTGAAAAACCAGTTGACTGAATGTAAGCTTTTATTTGTGGCCTCTCAATCCAGTTCCATTGGTCCATGTCTGTCCTTTGGCCAATGCCACATGGCTGGAATCACCAGTGCTTTGCAGTATGTTTTGAAATCAGAAAGTGTGATTTCTCCTACTTTGATCTTTTTCACAATTGTTTTGGTTATTTTGGGTCCCCTGAATTATTTCCTCTTTGCTCTTATAAATATCTTTAAAAATGAACAGGTTGTAATCGACTATGCTGTGTTTGCATAGCTTCTGAAGACATAAGCTGCCTTGTGGACAGAATGGTAGAAAATATCCCCTGGCCTCACCATTTTCTCATTTTGACGTTGCCACTGTGCTTAGTCCATGTTGAATGGACACCTGTCCCAGCAGACCTGTGGTGTTTGGCTGTTTTCCTTCAGATGAGTAATGCAGAGAGCTCCATGGGTTCTAAATGGCGTGTTGTAGCACTGGGCGGGGCGGGTATCACTTAGGGTGTCTTCACCCCTCTATGGAAAGTGTCCTCACCCTGCCGTCCTGGCACATCTGCCCCAGCTGGTGGCCACGATTTGCCACTGAAGGAATTTTAACTATAAATTCACCCACACTCCTTAATGTTAAGAATCACAAAAGGGTAAAAAATTCATTAGTTATTGATGAGCCTAGAGCCTCTTACCCCATTATCCTGTGAGTATTAGAAGGTGCTAGTTATGCCTTCCACTGACATGTTGGCCTAATGGTACCTGAGCTCAGCAGTAAGTTTTTCGGGGACAGTAGCTGGTACATTTCCATGCATGGTGTGGGGTGGGGGTGCTTAGTGAATGATCCAGATTTTTCCAGAATTCACTTCTTCAATATTCAAGTCCTTTTCTCTATTCAATGCTAATTATTGACAGTGTGAAGGAAAATTGAATTTATTTGAACGTATTCCATTTTTTTTCCAGGATATATATACAAAGACTATCTCTTTATGGTCTTATATCAATAGCCAGCTAGATGAATTTTCTAATCCCTTCTTTGTGAACTATGAAAACCACGTGTTATATCCTGTTGCAAGTCTGAGTCATTTGGAATTATGGGTAAACTATTATGTACGATGGAATCCACGAATGAGGCCTCAGGTATCTCTTTGTTCTTCTTTTCTAAAGAGCGTATCTTTCATTCGGAATAAAGATGGCGTTGTACAAATATGCGTTTGGGAGGTGACCAGCAGATACTACTGAAGACCCTCTGCCCACCTCTTTGAGGGCTCAGTTCTTTGCATTCATGTTCCAGCAGGTCCTTCCCACACACTAGCCCAGCTGCCACTTGCCGGGTCAGAGCTAAGACTCGCACCACTCCTGTCGGCTGCTGCTGAAGGCCCACAGATAAAGTGTCTGGGTTGCCGCTCTGGGTTCTGTCCTCCAAATGACTTTAGGTAGAGGTGTAGTGGGAGAACTCACCACACAGCCTGTCACCCCTGGAGCCTGAGAAAGGCTTTGGAAACCCTGCAGGGTGATCCGGTAGCACAACAGAGTGAGGGCACGTGCTGAGTCAGGTGTGGGTGCCCCCTTGAAGGAGGGAAAAAGCCCCCCCCCTCCGCTATACTTTTTCCCTGTAACATTTTCTCAGAGATTGAAAGAAATTAGAGGCCAGCACTGCCTCCTGCAGGCCACCTCACCCCAGCTCCGCATGCTCCTTCATCCGAGCTGCCTACTGTGGTCAGCAGGCCTTGATGACAACAGGATGACGGCCCTGTGCTCCCTTTCCTTTGCATTTACTTCCGTTTCTCTCTCCCTTTAGACTTTGCACCACACAGAGGTAAGCCCCTGGCACAGCTGCCTGTTACTAGACCACTCCTCCCCCGAATGAAAATGACTATGAAGCAGGAGGCTCTTTTCAATGGCAGGTGTGCCCCGAAGCCTGTGGGGGTGAGAGAGGCGGCCTATGCATTAGCAAAAGCTGCTACCCTAGCACTGGGGTCCAGATTCCAGAACTGCACCCCTGCCGACTCTCGGGGTTTCATTTAGAATGCTAAGCATGGAAGCCCTTGTGCTTATCAAAGCCAGCCTTCCCCTGCCACCAGCTTCCTCCTCATGGCTGTTTATTTCTGTCCCATTTCAGCTTTCTTTAGTGGCCTATGAGTAGAGTGTCTGGCACCCACTACTTTATTTAGAGGGCGTAGAGGGAGTTGCCTTGGTGACTCAGCAGGCCCAAGTGGTGCCTGGAATTCCGTTAGCATTTATGGGAAGCCCAGCAGAGGCACTAAGGGACCTGCAGTGCCTGTGCCTAAACTCGACCTCTGGGTGACTACAGGAATCCTCGTCTATCTCCCCCCACCCTCCCCGTGCTCAGCAGGTCATAGAGTTGAAGAACTGACCATCAGCAAAATAAAATTGTCCTGAGGCGGTACGCCCCTAGAGCCCAGAGCGCCTTCCCAGCACAGCAGCTCCCTCTGCTGGCGGGTCGGACCTGCACACATTGCCTCCCTGCACTGTTGTTGTTGTTCTGTGCCGTGGAGTCGGACCCGACTCATAGCGACGCCTCCTTGGGTTTCCGAGGCAGTACACTACGGAAGTAGATTGCCCCATCTTCCTTCCGAGGAATGGCTGGCAGGTATGAACCGCGAGCCTTCTGGTTAGCAGTGCACTAGCCATCACAAAATTCTGTAGGGCAGGGACCAATTCGTTGCAAATACTGTAAGCTCCTTGACAGATCTGTTACTGAATGCAGTCAGATCCTAACCCTGGAGCAAAGTCAGCTTCTTGGTGGTGGTGGTGATGAGCATGTAGTGGCCCATAGCTGCTGCAGCTTGACAGCCTAGCATGCTAGCTCCAGGTCCCGGGCTGGGTGCTTACCCATGTGGCTTTACTGCATGACCACTGCGAGCCCAGGACTCCCAAGGGGGAAGGGAAGGGTCAGAGAAGCCATACTGGCCGGTCATCTAGCCACCTGGTTTGAGGTCGTGGGAGGGGTGTCTGGCTGATGCGCCAGGATCCCAAACCCCACCAGCAGATGAGTCCACGTGACACACTGGCCCCACACTTGGACAGTGGCAGGCAGCCATACACCCTGAGCGTGCTGCACAGAAGAGGGGCCGGCAGCACAGAAGGCTGGGTCCAGGTGCTAGGGACATGGCGGCTTGGCGACGGGCAGGTCACAGAGGTTTGGGCTGTGTCCAGTAACAGTGGGAGTCATCGCAGGGTGTGGAAGCCAGGGGAAGGCTGTATGAGATGGTTCTAGAAAGCTCTCTCTGGTGGCACTGTGATGGTCAGTGAAGGTGGTGGCAGGGACATGAGCAGGAAGGCACGGTGAAGCAGTGGGGACAGGGGAAAGGAGAGAAAGGAGGAGATGGGAGGAGAGGCAGGGCTCGCACCTTTGGGCCTCGCGGCCCCGAGAAGCAGGCGGCCGGCCCATCTGCCTGTGCCCAGGACGCCAGCAAAGGGCAGCCAGGGAGGAGGGCACAGCAGGCATGGTTGCCTTTGAGACCCTCTCAGCCTGTGCCACACACGCTGGCACCCACCAGACCAATGTGAATGGCCTTAGGTGGGCATCTTCGGGACCACAGTGCTGCATTTAAGCCCTGGGGGTTTCTCCAGCCAGACTGAGTTGCTGCAAATGCAGGCACCATCTGGGAGGACGCAGTGGCGGCCAGAGCCAGTAGGCCTCCTGCCCAGTGGGCACGCGACTGCATTCCTGTGGCTGTTGCACCTGGCAGTGTATGCCGTCTCCTGATTGGAATCAAGTGATCTGCCTAATAGATCCAAAGGGTTCCTGGTCACCCTTCTCCCAACAGGTCGCTGGGATCAGCAGCAAGCAATGTTCACTTGCCTTTTGGGGCCCTACCATCAGACCCCAAGCTTCCTGCCCCGCTTCTTCCTGTGGCTGGTGGGCCCTCATTACCAAACACCCTGCTGTCTCATTGTCACCTCAGTCACGGTTCATCTCGTTCCTCCAAAGAGCTCAGTGCAGATCCTGAGCTGTGTGGGCCAGGTCGGTGGGGCAGTCTGCTCCCAGTGAGTGCTCTCGGGGATGGTCCCCAGAGGCTGAAGGTGAACTTGGGGCAGATTGTGCTCTAGACAGAAGGGCCGGAGCACACAGGACAGTGTCCAAACCCTGGAAGATTCTAGAAGGTGCTGGGGTGGGGTGGGGTGGGGTGAGGGAGTGGAAGCTGGGGCAGTGTGCTGGTTCCGTAGCGCCACTCTGACAAGAATATACCACAGATGGGATGGCCTTCACAAACAGGAGTTTATTCTTACAATTTGGAGGCTTTAAGTCCAAGTTCAAAGTGCCAGGCTCTAGGAGCTGGGTAAAAGCCCCTCAACCTTGAGTTTCAGCTCTGCCTCCTGCTCCCGGCCCACTGGAGCTAGAGGCATTTCTTCACTCAGACAGCGGCTGGCTGCTGAGACTGACAGGCCCAAGGTTGACAAGTAAGGCACAGTCCCAATGTTACCAAACCACACAGCAGGCCATTAACTTAAGCCCATTGTAAGTCCCGAGGTCGGCAGAGCATGGCAGGCTGCTGAACGAAGACGTGGCTATCGCAGGGTCCAAGTGGGCCATACGCTAGAGACCATTCCCCAAGGCTGCTGCTGTTTATGTACAGGAAGCAGACCACATTCCCTAAGTCAGCTACTCGGCTGCTCCCAGTAGATTCCGCCACGGAGTTGATTGCCGGTCTCATCGTGGGGAATACTACATCCAGCTGCCCGCCAAGTTGACACACAGATTTAACCACCACAGGCAAGATCAGGCCTAAGCGGAAGCCCCTGGGCAGTGGTGAGCAGAGGTTTCCCCATCTGTACGCGAGCCCCCTAACTGCCGTGTGCGGCTGGACTGGGGGAGGCCCAAGGCTCCCTGGGCCTTCCAAGTTGGCCTCGCCCCCAGGGGAGAGCTCCACCCGGGAGAAGCCGGGCCTGGAGAGCTGAGTGTGTGTCTATAAAGTTAGGGGACTGGGAACTCCCCACGCCACAGAAACGCCCTCCTCGTTCTCTCAAGCTGCTCCCGGGCGACCACGGCAGGAGGCCAGGCGGTGCTGCTGAGGCGCTGGGGTTCTCCCGAGAGAGGCGGGGGCCCGTCTTGCGTGAGGCACCCCGCAGACACACAGCCCCCTCGGCGCTTGTGAGCTTCCATTCTGATAGAAACACAGCTTTCAGGCAGAGAAGGAGCTGACCTCAGGGTTTTCAGTCGGCAGAGCTCTTTCTGAAAACGCAGACCCCCAGAGGGAACTGAGGTGCGGGGGCAGTGCTTAGTTAGCGCACGCCATCCAGGTAGCGGCTGGGAGCCCTCGCTTGCTGCCGGCCTCTCCTGGGCCTGCTCGCCGCCTCCCGCCCCCCTGACGAAGCCAGTAAGGAGAGCAGAGGGCGAGGAAGCATCCCGGAGCCTTCCCGGAGGCTCCCGACTTGAGGAAAGGAGTCACGGTTCTGCAGAGACTTGGGGCATAGGAGGGGTCGTGGTTCTGAGACAATCATGACTTTAGCCCTCCCAGTGTCTAGATGTTGACGCGCTGACATAAAAACACATGATGCCTCAGAAAGTTGTGCAGAGAGCTACCACGGGACCCAGAGATCCCACTCCTGGTGCAGGCCCCAAGGAGCTGGAGGCGGATCCGCAGACAGACACACGCCGGTGTGCACTGCACCCCGTGCAAGCGCCGTATCCAACGGGGGCAGACCACCCACGTCCATCAGCACAATGGATGCACACACACAGTGGCCATGAGAATGGGATATTTATTATTAAGCCAAACAAGGGAGTGGAGCACTAATGGTACAAAGGGGTGGACTTCGACAAGCCCACAAAGCCCACACAGTGTGTGATTCCGTTTGTACGAATTGTCCAGAACAGGCAAATGCATAGAGACTGAAAGACCGGTGGGCGCAGGGCTGGCGCACGGGGACCGGAGCGGACTGCCTGCTAAAGGCACAGAGCCTCCTCCTGGGGTGATGAGAACGTTCTGGAATTGATCCTGGGGATGGCTGCACAACTGTGAATATACTTTAAAAAAAAAAAAAAAAAAACCCACTGAAGTGTACACTTGCTTCTGAAGGGCGAATTTCATGGTGTGTGGATTCTATCCCAATAAGGCTGCAGCCAGGCGCTCTTTCACCTGCCTGAACCCACTGGAAAGGACTTTTTCACATTGGTCTTTCTGGAATCTTCTCACCACAGCCTCTTCCTCCCAGCCCTCCCTGCTTCCCAAGTGCCTGTGGCCCCTACTCTCTCCCCTCGGGGGGCTGGGGTGATTTCTGCTTTTCCGCTCCCCTCTTTGATCACCCCAACCAATGCGAGCCTGGGGGTTTGGAGGAGGGGCTTCCCATTCTCGGATTTATTACCTTCTTATCAGCAGTTCTGCCTACAAGGACCTTCATTACACCCTAATTGCCAGCGCCAATTGCCCTTATTTTTTATATTACAAATCCATTGATAAGCACTTTCAGCAGCTCCATACCCTCACCACACCAGGCTAATTTCATCTCCCTCCTCCTCGATTAGCGCTGCAGGGGGTGGACCAGAGCCCGGAGGTGCCGGCTAATCAGATCACTAATTGGTCCGCACAGCATGCTCAGCAGGAACTCAGTGGGATGTCCTGGGTCACACGGAGGGCAGATGAAATCTCCCGCTTGCTTTCGGGGTCGCAGCCAGGGGTGGGCTGCAGTCTGAGACCATTACAGCTGAAGAGGTAAGGTCTAGGCAGGTGACTGGCAGGGTTGCTGTCACTGAGGTTGGCGGGACGGTGAGCTGAGGTAGAAAGCACTCACTAGCAAGTGGTGGGACTTACCCCAATTTGGTTGCTAACGAACTGTGACTTTGGGTAGGCTCTTTAACCTCTGTTCAACCTCTGTTCATCTTTACCCTGCTGACCTCTCAGGGTTCGGATGAGAGGCGGGCGAGATTTCAACACAGAACAAACAGCACCTTGAAGGAGGGCATAGTTCTTGTCAAGCTCAGCTCTGTGTGAGCCACAGCGGTGTTCTTAGCATTCTGCGTGTAGTTTCATTCCCTCAACAGCCGTAGGGTTTGTACTGTCAGAGGTTCAAATGAACGGATGGAGAAACTGAGGCACAGAGAGGCTAAACACTCTCCTCAAGGTCAAGCAGCACCAGCGGGGCAGAACGTTTCAGTCACTCCTTGGCCACTCCTAGTCTGTAAACCACACTGCCGTTCAGCCCAGCTCTCTGTTCCAGGCTGCCTGCCTCCTCACCCTGAGGCTGGGGAGGGGGGAGGGTTCTTATTCCATAGTGTTCTTCTCAGACCGTCATTCTGCCACTTACATTTTATGTTAGCGGGGGAAGACCCCAGATTCAAACATATTCTATAGCCCAAACCAAACTCACTGCCATCAAGTCAGTCCCGACTCCTGGTGACCCCTCCTTGGGTTTCCCAGGCAGTATCTCTACGGTAGATTGCCCCATCTTCCTTCCAAGGAGTTGCTGTTGGTTTTGAACTGCCAGCCTTCTGGTTAGCAGTCAATGCCTTAGGCACTACACCACCAGAGCTCCTAAACATATTCTATGTTGTTGTTGTTGTTGTTATGTGCTGTCAAGTCGGACCCGACCCATAGCGACCCCTCCTTGGGTTTCCGAGGTGGTATCACTATGGAAGTAGATTGCCCAACCTTCCTTCTGAAACATATTCTATAGACACCCTTTTATTAAGCCTTAAATAGGACAAAGACAATCAGCTGGATGAGGGAAACCGTCAGCATGTACCCAGTACAGAGGCCATGGGTCCCACCGACTCTCAGCCAAGGTTTTCATCACAGCATGATGACTGGTGGCAGGTCAGTCCGTCAGTGTTATAGACTGCAGAGGTGAGGAAGGACCGTGATTGGGATATATATGTAACTGTAGGTTCAAAAAAGGTCATGGACTTGTGGAGTTTCTACATGGTGGTCCTAGTGGTCAGGGTAGGACTCACGATTGTGCAGCCCTGAGTCACAGTCCCCAGGACTCCAACTTTTAACTCGAATCAGAGCATAAGCAGCTATTTGTGTTGTCATTAAGGACACACCCCGGCAAGTTCCCTAGCTCTTTGTGTGAGTGCCTTTCTATACACTAGTTCACCGGCTTTCAACTGCACTCTTCCCGAGGGCAGACTGGGGAAGTAACATAAAGAACTCACCAGGTGTCAGAACCTAAGCCAAGACTCAAAATGGAGTTAGCAGCCCCGCTATCAATGGTGGCCTTCCACAAACCACAGGCTGGAGAATTTCAGCTCAAATGCCATTTCAAGCCCCTCGTGGCACAAATGGTTAAGCACGCAAATACTAAGTGACTCTGGGTCTGGCATAGAGAAGGTAAATGAAACCAAGGACAAGAAGGAAGACAAAGTTCAGTGTCATGGAAAGGTCAGGTAAGATGTGGACTGAAAAGTGGTCATTGGATTCACCATTTAGAGGTCACTAGTGACTTTGGAGAACAATTTGAGGGTCAGGGCCAGAGATTAGACACAGTGGTTTGAGGAAAATGTGGAGAATGAAGAGGTGGAGACAAGGTGTTGAGTCGTAGTCTCTCTAGAGGACCTGATCGTCAGGACAGGAACCAATTCTGGCAGAATTCCTGACAAGAAGTGAATGGGAATGCTAGCTTTGGAGGACAGATGGCCTGGGAGGGTGGTCTCCTA